TTGAACCCATGGCAAGCACTCTACCAACCAAGCTGTATCCCCAGCCCCCCCCCCCCAGTTATTTTTATTTTAGGGTCTTTCTAAGTTGCTAAGGCTGGCCTTGAACTTCAATCCTCCTGCCTCAGTCTTGGAAGTGCCCATTCTCTTTAAAGGCTGCAGATACTAAAAGTACAGAGAAGCTACCTTCCATATTGAAACACAATGACTCAATACACATACTTCCATGTATACTTTTATCCTCTTCTGAAATGGAATCTTTACAAATGGATTATTAAGGTCAGAGACCAACCTTGATCTTGACCTATGCAAGATGCCTGGAGACTGGAATAGGTGAATGACTTGGTCCCTATTCTTTGGTAGCTCACTCAGTTTAAGGAGATAAGTAAGATGCAGGAAAATGGAAAAGGAGATTTTAATACATACACTGTTTCTCTCAGTAGTAGCCCCATCTTAGGAATTTATTCTATAGATAGGCAGCACCCAGGCACCAACAGATGTACTTGCTGTTAATCATTGTCAAAGCCAATAACCTAAATGTTCAGCATTAGGGACTTGAGTAAGCATAGGCCATATGGTACTAATATGGATCCATCTCTAAGTGAAGTGAAGAAAGAAATGTATGGAACAATGTTTCATATATTGTTTTTGTAGTTTTAAAAATACAGGAGTACACATGCTTGTAAATGTATATTCCTGCATTGTTCACTAACCCATGTGGCTATGGAGCCCTTGAAATGTGGCAAGTTCAAGTTGAGATATGCTGTGAGTGTAAAATGCACATTGCATTTTGAAGATATCCAGGTTTTAAAGCTATCAATTGGATTTTGAAACTGTCAAAAAAAGTATGTAAAATATCTTATTAATAATTTTATTAACATGTTGCCATGTTCAAAGTAGTCTCCTGTGTTTCTTTTTATTTTTTTTTTAATTTAATTTTTTTTTTTTGCAATGTTGAGGATTGACCCCAAGGCCTTGGGCATGCTAGGTAAGCACTTTACCATTGAACCATATATCCTATTTCCTTTTTTTTGATTGTTTATTTTTGTTTTGTAGCAGGGATTGAACCCAGGGCACTCAAGCACTAAGTTACATCCCCAACCCTTTTTATATTTTATTTTGAGACAGGACCTCTCTAAGTTGCTGAGGCTGGCCTGGAACTTTCAATCCTCCTACCTCTGCCTCCCAAGCTGCTGGGATTACAGGCATGGGCTACCATGCCCAGCATTTTATTATTTTTTTTTAAATGTTGTTATTACTAGAAAATTTTAAATCCTATATGTGGCTCACATTCATGCCTGCTATTACATTTCTACTGGCTATAAATTATCTTCTGTAAAATATGTAACACATTTATAATAGTAGCTGCCTGTGGGGAGGGGTCCTGAACATTGGTCCTGCTTCACTGTCTTTTTGTAACATTTAAATATTCAACTTTGTTTGAATTTGTGGTGCCATGGTAACCATTTTGGAGGGGCAGGGATACCCAGGATTGAACTCAAGGGCTCTCAGCCACTGAGCTGTATTCTGTCTTATTATGTATTTTATTTAGAGACAGGGTCTCACTGAGTTGCTTAGCCCCTCCCCATTGCTGAGGCTGGCTTTGAACTTGCAATCCTCCTGCTTCAGTCTCCTGAGCCTCTAGGATTACCTAAAACCCTTTAACATAGCTGTGTGTGGCTGCCCATGCCTGTAATCCCAGCAACTCAGAAACCTGAGGAAGAAATATCACAAGTGGGAGGCCAGACTGGCAAGACTGTCTAAAAATAAAAGTGACTCAGGAGGCTGAGAAAGGAGGATCACAAGTTTGAGGCCAGCCTCAGTAACTTAGCAAGGCCTTAAGTAACTTAGTAAGACCCTGTCTCAAAAAATTAAATAAATAAAAAGCTCTGGGAATGTGGCTCAGTGGTAAAATCCCCTTTGGGTTCAATCCCCAGTACCAAATTAATTAATTAAAAGAAGTGCTGGAGGTGTAACTTGGTGGTAGAGCACTTGTCTAGCATGTGGGAGACCCTGGGTTTGATCTCCAACACACACACACACAACAACAATAACAACAACAACAAAACATTAAACATGCCATTAGCCATGACAGAAAATCCACAGGGAGGGGAAGTCCCACAAAGGTGAAGCTGTGTGGTAGCTGGCTTGGAGAAACAGAAGGGATTATGGAAATAAGAAGTTTATGCACCAGTGAAAAAATAGGGCAAAATTTTATAAAATAGTATCATAGAGATACTATATCTCATTAAAGTTGCATGTTACTATCAAAAGTAATTGACAAGCTTAAAAATGCTTTATTTGGTAGCATTAAAGTATTCGTTACAAGTTAAAACAACAACAAAAGAAGTATGTTTGCTCCTCTTCTGCCCAGGCCCCAGGGGTCTCATCAGATGCTCTTGAATGAGTCTAGAGTTTGATGTGCTTAGTGCCAGGGTATTTGATTCCTTGGGGAGATGGAGCCTTCCATAGCCCACAGGTGTCCTGAACAGAATATGGCTAGATTTGGTCCTGTTACTGTGCTGGTTGAAAAATATTTCTTTTAACTTAATTTTATGGACTGGTTTTTGTTTTAACTGAGCACATACTCCATGATCTAATTGGCAAAAGGAGATTCAGCTGGACACACAGAGCTGACATGCAGGCCTCCACCTGTGGGATATCAAAGGATTCCTGAGATTTTCAGAATCCACACAGCAGGTGGTTTCCTCTTCAAATACCCTGTGGGGATTTGTGTGGGAGGGGGTGGGGAGGTGGAGACCTGCTGTGTTGACTCTCTAATTGCAACCCTCAGAGCTGTTACACTGCCAGTCTTTGGAGTAGAAGCTGTCCAAGAGAGTGGAGCATTCCCATCCACTCGGGGAACTAAGGCCATTAATGTAGATAGGAGCAAGCTTCTAGAAGCTAGGTTTCTAGCTTGAGTCCCAGGGAGAATGAAGGGGGCGGGGGCAGCTATCCCTGCCTGCCTCAGCAGTATAGCTCCTGGCACAGCATAGGAACTGGGCAAGATATTGAGAAGTTCCCAGTTCCCACGTTGGTTGCTCCTCTCACAGGCTAGGATCTTTCTTTCTCCTTTCCTCTCATATTTGCTGACCACCTGGTGCCCGCCCTCCCTTTTGTCACCCCTACCCAGTGTCCTAGGACAAATAGTTGGGATTGCTAGGGAGAGTGCTTTCCTGCTTTCCTGAGGGGTGCCCCGTTCAGCCAGGAGCCTCTCTTCCCTGGGGAGATAGGATGCAAAATCTAACTTTTGGGTGTAGCCCTCCCAGCTCCTTCCAGGGAAATAGGCTTGGCTGGAAGGTGATTAGATAATTAGAAGATGATCATTGTAAACTAATGACAAATTCAGCCTCCCTCCTCATCAAAGAAACTCCAATTAAACAATATGGTGTCATTGACACCAAATTAGCCAAGTCATCAGTGGGAATGAGATACTTCTTTGGTTGCTGACAACCCCCCAAATTCCAGAGGCAGAAATCCAGGCCTAAACAGGTTCGGTGGCACAGGCCTGTAATCCCAGCTACTGGAGAGGCTGAGGCAGGGGGATAGTGAGTTCAAAGCCAGCCTCAGCTACATAGCGAGATCTTGCCTCAAAATAAAAAAATAAAAAGGGCTAGGTTGTGGTTCAATGATTAAGCGTCCCTGGATTAAATCCCCGGTACCAAAACCAATAAAAAAACAAACAAAAAAACTGTGGGGCTGGGGGCTGTGGCTCAGAGATAGAGCACTCGCCTAGCACGTGTGAGGCCTTGGGTTCAATCCTCAGCACCACCTAAAAATAAATAAAATAAAGGTATTATGTCCAACTACAACTAAAAAACAAAATATTTTTTTAAAAAAGAAAAAACTGTGAA